GTATTTTATTTTCGATCTGCGATCGATTTTATATCACACTTTACTTTGATCCATGAGATCTACTCCTCCCATGTTTTTGTTATAGTGTGATACAATTTTTGGGCACTTCACATCAATTTTTTCCGCTGATACAGCTTTGCGTCGTTTTACGGTGTCTGTTTCTAAAGGTGACAAAAAGTTGGTCAACAAGTGCACCGCTTTATTGTCCATCCACTTCACGTATGAAATGCCCTGAAAAATTGTGGTGTATATCGCACCTCCGCTCAAATAGTGTCGTAAGTCAAAAAAGTAAACTATCGAGAAAAAGGCGTTTGAACTTTTTGTTGTCACTTTTCGGGTGTTAAATCGAAAACTAACAAAATTAGTGCTATAAGTTTCTTAGTAACTTACAACGGTTTTTGATGCTCTATAAAATACTGTATTAGGTATCCTGAAAGCATGAAAAAAAAATTGAGTTGTGACACTATACAGATAAAAAAACGAAAAATTTACGAAATCTTGTTTAATTAAAACGAATTAACATATAACCTATGTTATATAGGCTATGTTATATAATAAATAACACAATAAAAAATCAAACAGAAAAGTACCTAAGTCTCAGTAACATCTTTAGTATCTTATATAATTAGAATTAACATCAAAATAACTCACAAATTGCTATAAAAGTCAGCACAAAAACTAGGAATGTGATTATTTTTTGTAAAGTCATTAAATCAGTCTTTTTATTCTCCTTGATTTTGATTTTAGTAGTATAAGCTTGTTTAGTGTCAGGAATTATTAGTATTTTTTATTTCGGGAGAGTAAATTACCTTCTGACCATTTGGTGTACGTGTAAAACGTTTTGTACTTTAAAATATTTGGTTTATCTTTGGCAATAGTCATCATTTTTACATCAGAGATCCTTATCTTATTTAGTCGTAATAACCATCACATCACTAGTTAAAATTGTTAAATAAATTAAATCTTTATATGAGAGCTCATTTACTCTCAGCGTCTCCCCAGTTTTTTAGCCTGTTTAATTATTTGTACATATTGACTGGGAACGTAAATTGGATCTGATTTCAACGAGCGTTTTATTTGCTTTTCTATCACCGAATGTACTAAGTCACCTTCATTCTGAGTGTGTCCAGGTAGTAAAATTTATAACTACCTAATCGAGTTAAGTTTATCGTATTTCAATACCGCAAACATGTACAACCCAACTATGTACCTATTTTTATTTTGCCCGCAACAGTTGTCCGAATAGAAAACTAAATCAATGGGCTACTGAGCAATTTTTTATAAATTATAGCAAGCAGCTACCGATTTCGTCTGCACCTCGATTGCCTTTACTCTCACGCCAAAAATAGCACTCAGTAATACTGTGATTTACAATCAAATCACAATTATTACTGTTACTTGTTGTCTGTAGATTATTTTTCTTTCTGTGTTTTCTGCCGTAAACTTGCTAACCGTGAAATGCATGTTATTTAGTTTTCTCTTATAGTCAAAAACAAAGACATTACCACGGAGTACCTGCAAAACAGTCTTATACAGCCACAATCAGGTTTTCATTTATTTTAAGAGCTTTCTTGTTTTTCTTTTTTTCTTCCCTAGATAAATTCTTTTCTACTAGGAGTACATGTTATGTTGTACTTTATCTTCCGGATTCGAATTTTCATAAGCTACACATAATTCATATCCGTCTTTCTTTGTTACGAAGGAATCTAAATAAAATCCACCATTAAAAATGCGACAGTACGTCACATAATTTCCATAATTCCGACCATTTCGTTTACACTAGTACATATAGTCCCTATGTAAGTCAAAAAAAATTTCCTCTATCAATGAATTCTCGTGTAGTTTGTGCCTTCAAATAATGGCTTTCAATCTTTGGTATTCCTTTTATAATTATGATCCCCGATTTCATTTTAATAGTTTCGCCAACAGTATAATGTTTATTATGTTTTCCTCTTTGATCTTCTTTCAAAAAAATCCCAGTTGATTTCTCTGTTACAGTTTTGATCATTCTGTCATTACTATCCAGCATCCACAACCTTCTTTAATAACTTTTTTAGGAGCACTTCGCCTAGATTTTGTTTTATAAGGCAATCCTGAGCTTCGTAGAATTTTAGTCACATTTTACTTCCATTGTCCTTCAGCACGCCGTTTCTTACGTGAAGTGGGCACAATTTCTTTTGTCATCTCATTTTGTCCTTGGGGGTTTGGTCTGTCTAAATTAGATCCTTGTGAAGTTGCTGGGCGGTTTCCGCGAATGTCTTCGCTTGGCTTTGCACTAGATAATAAAGATAGCGAGCTGGATGAGAATGAATTGGAACTGGACGAAGATGAACTTGAGCTAGACGATGAAGAACTCAATAATGATGATGATAGGCGATGAATAACGACGTTATTTTTCTTACTCTTTTTATGAGCAGTGTCGTAGTTGAAATCTTCAACTGAATCATCTGTTTCTTCACCTGCAGTGTAATCTTGCATAAGGTCTAAGTTTTCATTATTATATTCGACCGGTAAATTAGAAATATTTTCGGAAGTCTCATTTAAATAACCATGTCTTTATTGCTGTCATCTATTACTTCTAAATTATTTATTTGAGTATGTTTTGGTATAAAACATATTTCACACATATTTTCATAATTCGACACAGATCAATTTGATTGCGAAATAAATAAGATTTTTGATTAGCCTTAATCACATATACTGCATTAACTCAACACAGACCAATTTTGTTGCGAAATAAATAAGATTTTTGAGTTACCTTAACCACATACACTGTCATATATCGACACAGATCAGTTTTACTGCGAGAAAAGGAAGATATTTGCCTAGCTTTAATCACATATACTGTCTTATCTCGACAAACAACACTTTATACGATATTTAGTCAAACAACCACCTGGCGCAAGTCGAGATGTGACACTGTTTATGTTTGGTATAACATAACTTTCACTTAACATTATGATGACACTAGTACCATCTAGGGATAAATATTTAAACCATAAGTTCGACACTATTTGAGATAAGATTTTGAAGTTTTCTGAAACGAATGGTGCAATAAAAGAGTCTTTTAATTTTTTTGAGTTGTGACACTATTTGAGCGGAGGTGCGATATGTCTCCTCGATTCATTTTTTTTTTGTCAACTGGTGCAATTTTTGGAAGATGTTTCCGGTTTGTTCGAACGGTTCCACATGCCTTGGTATTCTGATAAATCAATGTATGCTGCAACATAAGTGAATTGAAAAAATTATCAACATAAATTTCACATCCTAATCCGTCCAACTTTTTTGTAAGCTAAAGTACTACAGATTCACCTAATCCATACTCAGTCCCAGAAGTCCGCTTGCCTGTATATAAGTCAAATTCAAACAGGTATCCTGTTGCAGCATCACATCTACACCATAATTTGAAGCCCCACTTGACTGGCTTATTTTTTATATATTGCTTCATTGAATTATGCCCTTTGAATTTTATCATATGTTCATCGATAGATTGCTTTTTTGTATTATTGAGAGCATTTTGAAATGAATTGTTGAAATGTTCGATTATGGGGCGAATTTTATACGCTCTGTCATAACCCGGACTATTTGTGTCTCCCACTTCTTCGTTATTGTAGAAGTGAAGATTTCTGGGTATCTCTTCAAATCGAGTCCTTGGCATAACATTTGATAGGAAAGGTACTGCCATATCTGGTTCTGTAGACCAGTAATCTCTTAATAATGGCAAATTGTGATAGCCCATAACTAAATTCATACCAAGGAATGCTCTCATTTCTTTTACATCTACAGTAAATGCCCGGCCATTTTGATGAGCGTACCGTACTGACTCCTGTACTATATTTTGAACTAAAATATAAAAATTTTTAGTTGAACAAAATATGTCAAAAAGAGAGGAGATGATGTATTGACATCAGCATCAACTTCTTGACAATTTTGTACCTTTCCGAACTCATATTCCACATCACGAAAAGTATTTGGCACGTATGTTCTCTGGTTCCACTTGAAAAGTGGTTCTTGATTACTGTGTGCTCCGGTGACGGGTAAAACAGCTGTAGACGTTGTTGGTTCAGGTGGCAGACTTACTGATTCCTGAGGTGGAACTGGAATTTCAATTTCAACATCAGAGACCCTTGATCATCATCCTGCGTCAAAATCCTTTGATCTTCTTCGTCCAGTTGTAAATCGTCTTCTTCGTCACTATTGTCACCCATCAAAATCTGTAGGACTTCATCATTCTTGAGTTCAAAAACGCCACGTCCTTTACGAAACATAATCTGTAACAATGTTAATAAAAAATGAGGGTAATTGACAAAAATCATCAGTAGAATAAGATAATAATTTCTCATAAATAATGTCTCTTATGGACCACTGGGACGCTGGTGTCCCTTTATGTTTATGATGTCGTATCACTGTAAAAAACTTATATAATGGTTTGATGAATATATATTATATCAATTTACTTACCAGGCAATAATAATAGCACAATAAAAAACAATATAATACACTTTGTCGTCCCGAAAAACTTATTAAAACTTTACCGAAAACGCGCCAAGCGAACTGTCAATTTCCAATTACCATAGACAGTATATCTTATTACCTACGTAGTGTTGTTGGCGAAGAAAATTATTAAAGATGCGTTCAAGAACTAATAAAAAATAAAGGAATGGGCATTGGCTTCTTAATTATGAATATTTTCATAATTATTGGCTAGGGACACATTTGTCCCCGTAGTCGTCAAAGGGTTAAATACACATTTTCACGGAAGCATCCAGAATGTTCCAGCAAATACCGGTACCGACTGACTAAGTGCGGAAAATTCGAGCGTGGACTTTTCTAGAAAGCTTAATTCTTCTATTCGTTACTAGATGGCGCTGTTGGGAGAGTTCCAGAAAGATCTTGACACTCCTATTTCTGATACTTAATACCAGATGGCGATAGTGCCATCAACTGTGGCGAAATTTCATAGGTAAAGACCCAATATTATATTCATCAATTTCCAACAGGTATCATGGATGGCTGCTGTACCCTACTTGGTATGCGTACCAGGAAATATTTTTATGGCATACGCGGGAGATAAAATTGGCAGAAAATTAACACTTCTTTTCATATCAGCTTTGGGGGCCGTAAGTATTTTAATTTTATACACATATAGCTATGTTACACGTTATAGAAAAAAAAATACATTGAAAAATGTTTAAAACTGACTTGAAGGAATTTACAAGGAAAGAGAAAAGAAAATGAAGCAGTCACCACATGATAGTTTCTGAAGCTGTGATAAGCAAGCAAACAGCCCACTTGATGGTAAGTTGATGCTGTGGCATATAGGTATCTACATCTATCCTCGATTAAGAATCAAAATGTAGATGCGTTGACAACTCTAAGGACTAAGATGGTATGTCCCGTATCCAGCTAAAAGGGTCTCTGGTTTTCTACAACCACCATACGAAGCACAGCAGCGTTTTGCTGCAGTGTATCGTCGTCGAGCTGCTATTTTGTGACAACATAGTCCTTCCTCAGTCGAGTCGACCCACTAATGCTACAATCATTATATACCTGCATGGTTCTACCACGTGAAGTGCTAAGACATTACGTACAGAACAAGTAAAGCTTCAAATGAACTTCATCTCCAATGTTCTCACCATTAAGGGTAGAATATTTTCTCTAAATTTATATAGCCCTCAACTAAAGTATAACATATTTAATAAAACAGAATCATAAATATTTCAAAACAGAAATACAGTAAAATTAAGACACTCCTCCGTTTCAAAGCCGGCTAGAAATTATACTGATTTCTCCATTATTAATTCTGTTTGAAACTATTATGAGACCATATTATATCAATGGGCTAACTCCGGAGATATTAACATGTTATTTATAAATAATCTTTTTCATTAGTTCGTAGCAATTCACTTTTGAACATGTGATCCACCTCAACTGACACGTTTGACAAGCGGATTACCAGCGGATTGGCACCTTTGACACTGCTGTCTTGTCTGGGTTTTTTTACGTTTGACGCAAGAGATATATTGTAGTCTATCGAAAGCGATAACATAAGATCTTTTTATCACTTCTTATAGCCACCTTTTATGACACCCTTGGGACAGAAAAGGTGATAGATTATCTTACGTTGCCACCACAACAGTATTATTAATTATGCCTCGTTGGTCTAGTAGTTGTAGTAGTGCGAGTGCTGATCATGAGGTCCTGGGTTCGAATCCCAGGTCGGGCCAAAAAATTAATTATTGAGTTTTCCGTCAAGAAATTTAGGAAGTTGGCGGTGTCTCACCCCCGTGCCTCGGAAAGTACGTAAAGCCGTTGATCCTGCGCCTGATCTCTCTACGGTCGTGTCGGTTTACAGTCCCATTGGATTATGAGAGTGAAGGAATAGATACCTGTGCTCGCGCATACACTTGGGCACTATAATATTGTCCTGCGCCGATGGCTAGTCTCCGTTGAGGCAGGCCACCATGGCCATATTAGATTATATATTAGATACCTGTGCTCGCGCATACACTTGGGCACTATAATCTTGTCCTGCGCCGATGGCTAGTCTCCGTTGAGGCAGGCCACCATGGCCGGAATTCGGTCTGGAGGACATTATTATATTATTGATTATACTGGCTCTCTTTCTTGAACCTTCGTGACATGACTGACGTGTGGCGCTGATAACGTTAACAACTAAATCCATATTCTACGGAGGTTGTTTAGAGAAATTGCTCAGATTAATTTCAGTTCTAGATTCCACCATCATAAATTTCATCAGAACTCGAAATAATATCTTCATCATTTCGATGGTTGGCGGTCCACTACCGTGCGATCTATGCGGAATTTTATTCAATTACCCTGGTGTTGTAGTTGTTTAAAGGAAGTTATTACATGGTGAAACATATACTCGTTTGTCTAATTTAAAAATACTTTAATTAATTTTGTTTCACAGGTTAATTGGATTTTGCTACTTCTGTCGCTGGAAACTTGGGCACTGGTGTTGGCTAGAGCTCTGGTGGGAATGACAATGGCTGGATGTTATGTCACTTGCCCTACATTTACCAAAGAAATCAGTGAAGATAGTATGCGAGGTGCTTTAGGCTGTTTAGTAAGTTATGAATAAAAATTCATATACGTCCTACTGTTAGATATAGGCCTTATTTTAAATCTGAGAGGGTTTCAGGGCATAGCAGTATCCAAGTGCTGCCCCAATGCGTGATAGCAGTTTTCATATGTCTATGAAATATTTTCTTAAGAGGCATGCAGGTTTTCTCACGATATTTTCCCTCAGTATCGAGTACCTAGTGAATCAGCACTAAAATTGCGATTAACAATTTCATTGGACTAGTGAATTTTCCTAATTATATAATTTTTCTAGTGGGCACTGCAGAAGTTGTCCTCCCTTCATGGTTTCAAATTCACGTTCACTCTTTAATTTTTCCCAGTGTACAGCAGGATTGATTAGTGGCGTTGGACTTAAATAAGTCTAAACTGAATAGTTTAGACTTATTTATGACTTTTACTTGACAATAAACGCGGTTTTATGTTCTCTATCTATCTATCCTGCAAGCAAGGTAGGCTCTGGGTACCAATTAAACATCGTTTTCAATGTGACATACTATTTAATAAGATTTTATTATTTATTTCCTAAGAGGGTGACTTTTTGGACCTTTGCTTTTTGGTCAATTGGCATTTAAAATCGATATTTATCATGTCTACCCACCATATGAATATCACATAAAAAGGTCTAAATTAAAATATGGTTGCCATTTCAATTTAAATATATGTGAATGGTCTTTTTCAGACAATTCTGTTTCACACAACAGGAAATCTATTTTTGTACATCATTGGCGATATATTGAGCTACCGAACGATTTTATGGGTATGTCTTGCATTACCAGCATTCCATGTTGTAATTTTTATGGCAATGCCTGAATCACCTTCTTACTTGGTGAAAAGGGGAAATGAAGAGGTAATATGATCATTATTATTATTTTTATGCCTTTAAATTCTATTCATCTGGTACAAATTAAATAAATTTATATTTATCGCAGTCTTATTTTGCGTAAAATTTTATGCTGGGAGGGAAACGAACTTAATTTTTTTAGGTAACTTTAAAAGTTAGTCCTTCGGTATTCGGCTTCAGCTGTTCTGGGTAGGTACATGTCTCCAGCATCACTGAAAGCTTGATTTGAGTAACGCATATATTCAGAGTGACACAAGCTTGTAATATAAACGTAAGGCAAAACAAGCTATAAAAATAAAATGACGAGTGGCGTCGTATATAATATAATATATGGCAAATACGAAAACGATTCACGCGCAAAGATTAATGTAAATTCGTGGAATGAAACGGCTTGTCGCTGGACATGGACTAATTTGTCATTTTGTCACTTCATTACATTACGTTTTTTGGTACGTTTTGTTACATTTCCGATTTTAGACACTTCGATATATTTTTTTAATTGATGTTAGTGACACTTCAATACTTTTGGGAATTGATATATATATATATATATATATATATTACCAACACTTTACATTTCAAATGTAATAATCTCAATTCGGGATTGTTGTTTCTAAAGTTGTTCTCACAAAAGACCTTTTAAATAAATAAATATCAAGATTGACTTGATCAACCTTTTTTCAGGAAGCAGCTAGAGTACTTGCTTGGCTTCGTTGTGGACGAATTAATGATGTGAAAGTACAACGGGAGTTGGACAATATTAAAAGGGAGCAAAAAAATGACGAAGAGAGCAGCAAATTCTTGCTAAAGGCAATCTGTGAGTATTTACTTATTTTCTCTTGCAATTTAATATTGAATTTATCTTTCTTGTAAAGTTATTAGCAAATTATCCTGTGATAAATATTTATTAACTTGTTGCGATATCTCAAAAAATGTTATTGGACGTTTCTAATACTTTATACTAGGACCGTGCTTTGTGACGTTCTTTACGAGAGGCCTATGTTTAGCAGTGGACTTGTGAAGGGCTGTAACGTTGTTGATGACGATGAATTCTTTATACTAATTTCATTATGAAAAATGTAGAGATGTGAAGCCGATAAGACGCAGGTAACGCAAGGCGGTGTTGGAAAGATAGGATTCCCAATACGTTCCTGGTTTTGAGAGAATGGAGAACTAGTACTCTTATCGGATGTTAGGCCCTTTATCTCTATCCTCAAAGGTGACAATGCAACTGTAGCTATCCGTGCTCGAAGATCGATACTTGTAGTATCCATAAACTGCTGCTACCACTGCCACTTACCATCAGGTGATTTGTTTGCGCGTATATCTTCTGTTTGCATGTATTTAATACTCGCAACTCGCAATAAATGTAGTATTGTGTATAAATTCTTACGTTATTGAGTCATGCCATAGCAAAAATATGGTTGTAGCATGAATAGGTTGGCTTGACTGGGAAAGGATCACGCTCTCAAAATGCTACTGAATGCTGCCGTGTTTTATACGGTGAAAGAAAACCGGAGACCCTTTTTACTAGAAACGAGTCACTCTATCTAAGTCTTTAGGGGTTACAACACATTTAGATTCTAATCTTAATCGAGATCAAATATAAATGTCTATGGGCCACATCATCCATTTACCATCAGGTGGACTATTTTTCACCATTATTCTGTAAAAAATTCTTCACTTTCATTTTGAATTGAGGGTAGGTCTACTGAATGCTGCCGTGTTTTATAAGGTGAATATAGAAAACCGGAGACCCTTTTTATCAGAAACGAGTCACTTCATCTAACTCTTCAGGGGTTATAACGCATCTGCATTTTGATTCTTAATCGAGGATGTCTATGTGCCACAGCATCTACTTATAATCAGGTGGACTGTGTGCCTGTTGTCACTCATATGCTATTAATTACTGAAATAAAAGAAGTCGATCCAGAGGACCTGCCAATTTTAGTTGCTCGTGATCTGTAGAAACTTCCTCCAGTGACACATCGATGTAACACGCTTGTTAAAAGACTTAATAATAATGCGAAATGAAGTCAAGAGTATTAACGATAATTATATAAATATGGAAAATTTTCGCAGCTCAAAAATAAGTATACAATTTTGAAAATGACACTGTAATGAACAATTTTGAGTGTACAAACTTTGTTAATAATAAGCAAAGCGATGCCAATTTGCTGGATAATTTTAATTGTGATAGCGGTCCGATAGGTATTATTCATTTAACAACAGAAGCAATGACCTCTAATAATAGCGCAAAGATTCCAACCTTGAGTAATAACAGGGTTTGTGGTTCGGAATCTGTTCAACTTCAAACATAGCGCTCTCCGTCTCTGTCATACACACCGGCTAATACGTTAGCTGTCGCCGCACCACCACCGCAGTGCTCCGAAAGTGCGGTGCGGGGCCCACAAAACAAGTTTGACTGTGAACCTGTGATAGACGCTTCAAGCTTACTGTCGACAACTTTTCGAATGAGAATAATAAGTTATGCGTTAGTATTGCGGAAATGGTACAAAATAATAACAAAAAGTGGAAAGACAAGGAGCAGAATGAAGAATGGAAAATGGTTCAGAAAAAAAGGTACAGAAACCGCTTTTTAAGTGAAAAGGGCACATGTTATGTATTCAAATACCTCTGTTTATACATACTGTACACGTAAATACATGTGAAAATGACATCATTAGTTACATAAAGAATAAAACTAATATTCAAATGAGTTTACAAAAAATGAAAACTAGGCAGCAAAGGGACTACAGTACATACAAGGTTTACGTTCCTCAGCATAAGTTATTTCTAAACTGTAACTTGTGGCCATATAGAATTTCCTTCCACCACCGTGTTGACTTTCAAAGAAGGAAAGTAAACAGAGGGACTGGATTAATCAGTGGTACAACTAAATCGTAAACAGTATGGATGGTACAACTTTTATTTCGTTCAATTGTAAATCTCTCAAAAGGTCAATGGACTGCGTCAGATCAATGAGTCAAAGAGCTGATTTTATTGCGCTGCTGGAGACATGGATGTTACCCCAAGAAATTCAGGAACTGAGCAATGTAAATAAAGCTTTCGGATACTTTGGTATTCAGCGGTTGATACGTCAGCAGAATTACTGCGAGGAACACTATATAGTGGGGTGGCTTTTTTATGGAATAGCTCGAAATTTGAGTCTGTGTCTGTAATACCGTGCGCGTGTGACCATATAGTTGCAATTAAACTTTGTGTTATGAGTCATTAATTGCTAGTTTTCTGAGTTTATATGCCTACTAACTCATGTGAAAATTTTGTAGAATATGTACAATGTTTAGGCAAAATAGCTGCTATAGTGGAAAACAACAAAATCTGTATTTGTTTTAGGAGATTTTAATGCACACACAGGGGAGCCTTTTGTAAAGAACTGATAAACGTTTTTAACGATCGAAACTGGGAGTGCATAGATTAAACATTTAAAGAAAAATTAAACATTTAAAGAATAATTAAAATTTTCTCAAAAAAATCAAGAATTATTTAAAATTAATATTTTAGCTACGTATCAAAAAGATAAAGATTTTCTAAGCTTCTGGAAACACACTGGGAAATTAAGTTCAAAATTCCAGATTCCAGTATTCAAGATTCCAGAGATATAGCTAACTTGTTCAGTTCCCGTTTTAGGGTGCAGTCGCAGCTAAATGCACGGGATGCTGATGTTAAGGTCGTTGTATCCGGTTACCAAAACTCGTGTCAGTTAAAGAGGTTGAAAAGTTAATTAAATGTACGAAAAGAGGTAAGTCACCTGATCATGACGGCCTCAGCATTGAGCACTTCGTGTATTCTGCACCGCACCTCCCGATGTGACAAGTCTTGCTATTTACTTTCTGTATCAGACACTCATACCTGCCTGCAAATTTAATGAGATTGGTCGTTATTCCTATTGTAAAGAATAAAACTGGAAATATATCCGATAAGACCAACTATTGGCCGATTTCATTAGCTACCATCATAGCAAAAATACTTGACGGTCTGATTGAGAGACAGCTCAAGCGTCACCTGGTTCTGCACGATGCTCAATTCGATTTCAGGCCAAAACTGACAATTGTGGCTCTCGAGCACACTGTTAGGTATTATATGAATTAGAAGTTACCGGTTTACGCAGCTTTTTTGACTTATCCAGGGCGTTTGCCTTGGTTAGGTATGACATCCTGTGGCAAAAATTACAAAATTCAGGAATACCTGGTGAGATTATTAATATTCTTAAACATTGGTATGGCTATCAGACTAATCAAGTCAAATGGTTAGATCACCTTGCTGATGCGAACTTGTAACGGTGCCATCCTTCAAGTATCACGTGGTTACAGAGGACTTGAAGGATGACAAGGACATTGAAAGGAAAAGGAGGGCTAGTCTGTAACATGTTGGCTCGCAGATTTGCACGTAGCAGTCCAGATTTGAAAACAACACGGTTTAAGGCGTACTGCCAAACACTTCATACGTGCAGTCTATGGGTTAACTATACGTAGTTGGCACTCCTGCGCACGGTGCAGGAAAGCGCCAACACCATTTTCAGAGTTATCAGTGAAGAGCCTGACTGCGCGATACTGCGGCATTGGATGTACGCTCACACACATGTTGCAGAGGTGTCGCGCAGTGCGGGCAGATATTTAAACTAGAATAAATAAACTAATAATTTGTTTAAAAAATAATCAAAAACTATTGTAGTAACTTTTCCAAGAAATGTTACTAACATGGTTTGTAAGATTTCTTTTTTATGTTACTAACAATACGGACAAACGTCTGAAATAAATGAATTTTACTTTATTTATTTTTTATTAAATGGAAACCAATAAAAGATGATCTACGTATCTTCAAACGTCCTAACCATTATGACAAATTAAGACGTCAATACTGCGACACGAATGAATAACAGCGGTCCTGAGGTCAACACGTTCTATTAGCTTTCGCCAAATTCTTTCATTGCGTTTGAAAATATAGGTACATGTTGACGACATTGAAGTAATATGTACTACGTACTAGAGCAGACACTAAGATTTGAATAAAAAGTCCAAGGACTCTAACTCAATTAGCCCGTATAGGGAGCTTGCCGCAACGTGACATATTTAAAGGATAAGTCAAAGCCTAATAACCATGTCTTCATTTACACTGTGGTCTTGTAAAAACCACTTTACCGTAACAGTTTGTTAAGGCCATACCCCTTATCGCGTAAGAAATCGGCAGGAAGCCACCTACTGGTACGAACGTAGTATTATTTTTGCAATGTCAATGAACTATTTTATGGAAATAGACACGGCAGACAATGATAAATGTATTTTAATTTTCTTTATTCGATATATTAGTTGCGTTATATTAGAATTATGTATTCTCATATATTATCTAATTAATAAAAATGACTATTTTGATTATTTTTAATTATATACTATACTGCTAATATTGAATTCGCGTGTAAATTATAATATTTGTCGAAATTTTAATTATGGATTCGAACTTTACATGCTAATGGCGCTTCATTTTTGTTATTTTCATTTACTTACAGATTGAAAATATACTTGAATAGTAGGTATTATTATTTTATTTAGCTACTGAATTTTAGGATATGTTTTACCTTGAGGTCGAATATAATTTTGAGGAGCAATAGTTATTACTAATCTTTTATGTGCTGTTCCTTATTTAGGAACAATATTAGTAAATTGAGTCTGAGGGAGATTTACTGTTTATAATGCTACATTTATTATTTTAATATTTACCTACTGGGTAGGTATTAGTAACTAAATAGATATTTTTTACACAATTACAATAACTAATGAAGTATTGTGATTATTTGTG